GAAATTGTGATGACCAAGATCAAAGGTATGTACAAAGATAAAGTTATACCCATGCACTCCGATATGTGTTTATGTGTGTGTGTGTGAGTGTGTGTAAGTATAAATAACTCGGTTGGAAGTAGCAACTAGTATGACGCATAAATTGTGGCGTTGAAATGAAGAAAATGTGTGATAAAAAGAATACACAAAACGCCGTGTTGCCGTGTGTCTCGTCGCCGCCTCAAGGGAAGCCCAATGAAGAAATAAAATATGCCAAGAATTTTTATTATTTGTAGTTGGATAATTTATACGAAATTGGTTAAGATGGAGATTATGCTTTGTTGAGGAATAAATTATGATTTTGAATAAAAAAAAAAAACAATATATAATTCAAATAAAATTGTTAAAAAATAATCGTAAAAAAATTAAAAAAAAAAATTAAGAAAAAATTATAAAAAAAAAAATAATAAAAAGAGAATAATAAAAAAAAGAATAATAAAAAAATAAAATACCAAATATATAAAAAAATATCAAAAAAAAATACAAAAAAAAAAATAAAAAGAAACTAAAGAAAACTAAAAACTAAAATAAAAAAAATTAAAGAAAACTAAAAACTAAAATAAAAAAAACTAAAGAAAACTAAAAACTAAAATAAAAAAAACTAAAGAAAACTAAAAACTAAAATAAAAAAATTACCAAAAAAAAGTAAAAAAATAGAAAAAATACAAAAAAAAAATGTATAAAAATTAAAAAATACCAAAAAAAAAACATTATAAAAAATGTAAAAAATCAATAAATTTAAAAATAATAGAAAAAAAATAAAAATAATAAAAAAAGATGAAATAAAAATAATAAAAAGAGATAAAATAAAATAATAGTTATAATAAAAAAATTAAAAAGTAATAGAAAAATAATAAAAAATAAGCAAAAAATACAATAAAAATAAGCAAAAAATAATAACAAAAAAATAATAATAAAAATAAGCAAAAAAATAATAATAAAAAATAAGCAAAAAATAATAAAAAGAAAACACAATAAATTAGTAAGCATAAATTTTTTCGAAGGGCGAAAAATGGGGGTCACGCTTTTATTAAAATTATGAGAAGAGTCTAAATTTTGATTGCTCGACAGTTGGAGAGTAATGTAAGAAGATCGGAAAGCCTTGAATGACAGTTCAAGCGCGGGAATCTGTAGATGAAAGGCTGTTTAAGTAGTTACTCGATCGGAAACTCAATTTTTAAAGAAAGTGGTTAACAACTCGTCTTAAATATGACATTTTGAAGCAATTTTTGTTGACGAGGAATACAAAAGATTGAGGTTAAGTATTCCGTATGTCTTCCAGCGGCATTTTCCGCAACGAAATTTACTGAAGGAAGAGAGAGAGAGAGAGTACTCATAAGAGCAGAAATTGTCAATGAAATCCATGAGAAAGGCATTAGATGATTGAAAAATAAGAGTGCGTTGAATAGCTGAGACTGCACACATCTCATTCAGGGTAACACATTTTCCATAGATATTTGTACAGGGTTAAGCTAAACACGGAATGGGTGCTGAGATTCCCAGCACTCAGACTCGATCAAAGAAGGGTTTCTGCACCTTTTTGTTTCCGCAAGCGAAACATAAAGCCATCACATTACACCAGCAATCAAGAACCAATCAAGAAAGGGAGTTTCTCTGAGTGAACGTCCACCAAAGTAGGGGTCCGTCGGCAAACAAGGTCATTGGCTTTTTTCTTTAATCATGAGATATCTTTTGATTACTCCGAAAAATGTAAAGCAATCCCCGGAGACAGATTCGAAGTGGATTCGAAACAGGAATGACCAATTGCGAGAAACCACGCTGATGTGTGCTGAGTTTTAGTTGGTATGAAAGTACAAGGCCTTAGCAAACATCGCTGATAGGGGTCTCTACATGGTATGGTCAAACAGAACAGAGTAAACCGCAATCGCCTCTAATTTGAGGAACACGTTACAGCCAATCGGAGGGTAACTGTAAGTCAGACGAGCTTGAAAGGTAAGATTTTGCCTCATGCAAACTGCTACCATTGGCAAATGCTTGTGGGTTGACCGCATAGAAATGAACTCTCACGGCCTGAAGTAAATCTAAGCAGACTTGGCCGACTGTTTTGAGGTCGAAAGAGGTCACCTTCTTAAAAAAGAGGAGTAATACAAGTCCTGACAGACCACTACTTGTTATTACGACGCGTAGAAGGTCTAGATACTGTAGCAGGTTAAACTCCTACCAAACCAGACTCGACCCCAACATACCCAATGTATGCCATGCATGTGGAGACTCTCCGCACGGCACTAACCACCTCTTCACATGCCCACTTAAAGCGACACATCTAACCCCCCACCAATCTCGACGAAACAGTACGTTTCCTGGACCTCGGTGATTTAGATTGATTAAACCTGTCCCTAAGCGGAATAAGCGAACAGCTACAACACCAAAAACACGTCGTGCAGTAGGGGTGAAAGTTTTATATAAGAAAAAGCAACAGAAGTTACAAGAAAAACTAGGAGAGAAGATTACTCTCATGTCATATGCGGCTATCATGCCTGATATCCTTCGACATCTAGAAGCCAATTTGATGATATGTTAAGATAGAAGATGTTAAGGTAATTAACCAGGGTAAATGCCACGTCAGTTAACTTACAAGAATACAAGAATAAGTTACAAGTGTAAGCAGTGGCTTGATCTGTTGTAACACCCCACCTTAAATCTATACAAGGCTGTTTTAATCATTACATTTGACGCTACCTTCGAACGACCCATCAAAATAGTTGAACAAGTCTTCCCTACCCGTTTTCTACACGGAAAGAAGTAAGTGGATTGCACCTGGCCGAAGCTACTGTTCACACTCTTCAATTGGCCTCTGTTCTGTTCGGGGACTAGACCCAATTCCCTAGGAATTTTCAACGGTTAGCTATTTGTTTCAAACTTCACATCAATGTTAATTGACTTGATGTCAAGGAATTGATGTAGGGGACCTTTGTTGAGGTAGTTCTCATCGCACCTGCGCTACACACGATAAGCAGGTTCATTACACGCATTTCAGAGGTCTAATGGGACACTTAGTATGGGTCCTACGAGACTCCTATAAAGCTAATACAGCTTTTAAGGTCGCTTACTAAGTTTTGGTTTCGAGCTTACGACGCTCCGCATGGTAGCGCGCATCACTAGGCACTCGCCTACGCGGAATTGGCGTTTAGGTTTGAGAAAATTTGCAAAAACAACAGTCCGGAGCAGGTTCTTGGATGAAGACTGATCATGAAATCACTTCGGCTTAAGTCATCCATTACGACAGACATGTCTTGTCATAATTAAATTTTTGCATCATAACCACACAAGTGATTCCTCAGGGGTCTACCCATCTAAGACCTCCCGAAGAATGAATTTATCATTTATAGTAACTTCTACATTCTCTGGGACGTGAGTACCTACTTTTGATTTGGTTCAGGGAACTCTGCGTTAAGTGTAAGATATGGATATATATTATATATATAAAATAGGCGCTCTGTAACTGCTCCAGTTAATGGTGTGCCTCTTGATGTTTCTTCCAACAATTGGATGGGCCTCCGAACGTCTGCTGGAGTCAGGAAATGAGCAGCTTTTATTCCATAACAGAGTCCCATTCGGAGGACATATCCTATCGAGAGACGACCACAATTAGAAAAATTAATTTATTATAATTTTGGATGATTTTAGAACCAGTCGGACTCGAACCCGGGCTTTCAAAATGACCGCACACAATGTTATCCACTCGGCTATTGCCTTCGGAAAATGAAATCGCTTTTGACAACAATTTCTTTTTAATCAAAATTCACTTTCCTTTGCACCTTTCAACACATACACGCATATATTACACATGGACAGCACTTGATGTTACTTGCGGCGGCTCAGTGTCGTTTGTGTCTTGAATTTGAAACCTTTTGACGGTTTTCTTCTTTTCATTTATGTATATACGAGTATGTCCATATTTTTCGACACGAAAAGTACACAAGTAGGTAATCACGAAAAATATATTTACACTCCGGCATTTGTATTTACATACGTACATACATGTATTTAGGTATGTTTGTATGTAAATATTGCGCAGAATGCGAAAAGTAAACATAAAAACATTGTCGCTGAGCCACCAATGTGTTTACGCAGTAAATATTGCAATTGATGCAGACACAGGGTGAGAGACGACAGCCAACGCTGGCTGTTGGTGAAAGATCACTTTCCATTTTCACTCACTCACAACAAATCAAAATCCTATGCGTTTAAATCACGTTCCATGACGAAAACGTCACCCAGTCATCGGGACAGACATTAAAGAAAGGCGAGGAAAACAAAAACACATTGACGAGCGGAGCTCCATTTAGTAGACGCACGGCTGACGCATTGGCGCGGAGGGAAATGCAAAGGTAGGACGCACAACAAAACGACGGCAACAACTACAACTACACATGAGCAGACGATTTACTCGTTTTTTTTTTTTTTTTTTTGTTATGTTTTTCGAAGCCGTTTTCTCGCTGACCACAAGTGCATACCGCAAACTAGTATGTTTATATGCATTATTGTTGTTATTGTTATTGGTTAGCAGCCAATGCTGGAGGCAGGTGAAGCTACTTACGGCAATCGTTTTAAATTTGCAAAAAGAAAAAGCGAAAGAAAGTATCAAAATACTGACAAACACACCACGTTAGACGAGGGCTGTTTCGGTTTCGCAACGTCACTTCTAGTAGCTGCCGCTTAACAGCTTAACAGGCTCAGTGGATGATCGGTCGCGGCAAGAGTGCGTAGATCTCACGCGCTGCCAAGACTTTTTTTTGTAACGCACTTGACTTTCTTTTCTACACCTTTTACCGCGGCCGGCTTTCAGCCAACAGCCGGTTTTCAACATAGACTCCACCTGTTTGCGCTGTCAATCGGCAATGCCAATGATTTTATTGTGAAGCAGAAAAAAAGTAGTCAAACAGCAGGAAATTTATTCACATTTTTATACAATAATTTGTTTTTGTTTTTGCATTTACCATTTAAGAGTCGGGAGTTTGGTCGAAATAAAAATTGCACATTTCATATTTCAAATGTTTTGAGGGGGGAAAAAAAAGTTGTGTAATTTTTCCTGGCAAACACCCTGTGATACACACAAACACACACTCACGTTCAAGCGACCGACAGTACGTAGAATCGCGCTAGATATGTGCACAACCAACCCGTACGACGAACCAATCGAACTGAAGCAGAGAACTTATTTTAAGTTCTCTGCTGAAGTGCGAACAACTTATGAAGTTGTTGCTGGCTCCAATCGGCGGTGGTCGGCAACTTGCAACTCAACTATTGCCACCGAACATGCGACAGCTGCTCAGCTCAGCAGCTGTCGCATGTTCGGCAGAGAACTTAAAATAACGAGAAGGTGCAAATTCGTTGCAACATCGAACTTGCTTCAAACATTTTCTGAAAAACTTTGGGAAAGGGATTCACCACACCGGGAAAGGGATTCACCATGATTTCTATAACAGCCACTGATAAAGGTAGCAGAGATGGGAATGGATTTTCTGCTAAAAACAGAGAATCGTATTCAATTATTTTTTCAATTCATTGCATATCTTTGCTTTGGCAATTTAAAGTGTGCTAAATATGAACTTAATATAATAGAAAAACATAAAAAATATTTAAAAAAAATTTAAAAAAGGCTAAAAAATTTTATATTAAAAAATCATTAAATCGATTTTTGTCCAAGCTGCGCGGGTTCAAATCCTTCTCTCGTTTCTTTTTCGCGTTTTATTTTTTGAAATTGCCAAATTTTAAACCGTCGCCTAGGAATTGCTTGTTGCTTGGGTGTGCGAGGGAAAAGAAGTTGGCATACTTTTGTGTATGTATGGGTCTTTCATATACATGCAGGTACCTTTGAACGTGTTTGTATTTTACTTCAGCTCAACTAGAATTTCTGATTTTTGCAAATTTTGCTATCGTCGAAATGGAACTGCTTGTGATGGCGGGTATAGGGGAAGAGAATAGGCAAGTTTTTGGGCATGTGTGTGATTTTCGTATACACATTGGTCGCTTTGAATGTATGTGTCTTCAACTTCAGATCAACTTGAATTCTGATTTTTGTAAATTTTGTCATCATCGCGAAGAAATCGTTTGTGGATGGCGGGATTGAGGAGGGAAGGGCTTGCGCGTTATTAAGATTGTGTGCGTTTTTCGTATACATATTAAAATGCTTAAATGTATGTGTTTTCACTTTGGCGTGAGTTGAACATCAAATTGGGATTTTTAGCGAAATTTGGCTTCGCTTGAGGAAACTGTTTGTTGATGAAGTGAAGAAGGGTAAAGAGTTTCTATGCGGTAGTTGTTTTTGTTGCACTTATGTTTCTTCTTCTTATAGCAAATAGCTTTTAGAGAAGTGCGCAGAGGAGTTATTTTGTTGTTTTTGTTATTGATAGTATGAATGGCCTGCGTTTATGAATGAATGAAAATATTTAAAGTTATTTGCTTTTAAATGACTTTATGGTAATTCATAGAAATGCACATATTTACATGCAAACACACATATGTTTAATATAGTATATAAAATATTTAATTATTATTAAAATAAAAGTAATAAAAAAAATAAAATAGATTTTTAATTTTTCAATATCATTTCATAGTATTTTGCAATGAATTTTATTACTTGATTTAAATGTTATATTTATTTATTAAATTTTATGGATTATTCAATCCAAAATCTATCATATTTTATCCACCGCCAAACATGCTTACATACATATGTTTGTATGTACACATAATGTCTTTATTTGCGTACATATGCACAACATTACCATGGCAACATATATACATATGTACATACATATATGTCGCCTGGTTGAACTTGCAAAAAATATTCTTCGCATAGCCAACAAAGCGTATGCCGCAAGCAAAACCTCTCCCCGCACGCTGCTCTTCCACAAGCCACAGCTCACAAAAATCAGAAGTTGAAGAAATTTCTGTACCCGCAACGCACAAACATACTCCCGATAAGGCGAACAAATGTATTGCAATTCAAAAATTAATGTTCCCTAAATGCCCTCAAACCATAAGGTTTTAATAAATATAATTTGAATTCAGATCTAAGAGAGGTGGGAAATATCAAATCAATTCGAAATGCAGAATAATTTGGCAAAACTTCTAACTTTCAATAACATAAACTAATGAGCATAATCCTGTGAAGTAATGTACGCATTGTTCGCATGCACGCGCGCGCACTGTGCAAATAAGCGAAGTCGTTTGTGGACGAAGTGCGCGCGGGGAGAACAATTCTTTCGTATATTTAACTGAATAAGAAGAAGAAAAACTATTGGTCTATTTCTTTGATTCGGTATAACTACAGAATATGCCAGCAAATTTTTATATAGTGTTATGGTGCGGTTGGTAGCGCGCAAAAGCTAGATGGGTTTTTGATGTTTTGCTTCTTGTGCAGGTTCAAATTCCTTCAATTGATTCAAAATTATTAAATTTTTTATTTTTATTTATTTTATTTAATACTTTTTGTATATTAATAATTTCAACTTTCAAATGGATTAATTTAATTTTTGTGCTATGCTGTTGCGTAGTTAGCGCGTACGTATGCATATACATATACATACATATGTATGTATTTATATTTTTGGTGTTTTGTTTCTGGCGCTGGTTCAAATTTCCTTCGAAGAGCCTTAATATATTATTAATTATTATATATTTTTCATACCAATTTTTAATATTGTTATTTTTTATTATAATTATTTATAATAAATTTTTATTATAATAATGAAATTTCTTGTAGATTTGTAAATTTCCATTAAATTTATATTATTAAATTTATAATACTATATTTCTATTGATTTTACTTCTGTTGTCTTCAATAACAGTTTTTCTTTATGCTAAACAATCAAAACTGTTAGTTTACAGCCAAATTTTAACAGAGTGGTGAATCCCTTTCCCGAGATTTTCTAGCTCTGTAGAAATTTCAATCGAGCATCGAACAAAAAGTCAATTGCACCTTCTCGTTATTTTAAGTTCTCTGGTGAAGCATAAAAATAATAAGTTCTCTGGCTTTGCAAGGAATTAATAAGCTCTTTTTCTTTCCCCAAGGAGAGTCAGTTTTTGTGAGCTATGATACTCCTACTTTGTTTTAGTTCTTTACGAGCGCCACCTATGTTTGGAGCTTAAATTGATAGCCAAGACAACATTCTTGAATCTGCGCGACACCTTGTGGAATTTATATGTTCAAGTAGGTGATTATATGAAGGGCGGCTAAATACAAATGGGCGGAGTCTCAAATCCATGATGGCTGTTGTAAATCAGTATGGTAGGGCGCGTTGCTCATTCGTCGCTTGCGCTTAGAAGTTACAACTGCAACATATATATATATGTATATATATATATATAAATATATACTTGTTAAAAGTGAGTTACTTTTTGGCATTTATGTCATCTTACAAAATTTCAATATTTTCAATCTTTTGAATATGGTATGAAACTCTTATTCCATTCGATTTCTAATTCTTACCAGGGACGAACCCACAATAATATGCAGGGCTGGGAGATAATTCGGGTTGATAATTCATGTGGTTGTTCTTATTGCCCTATTGCAGTAGTAATTTAATTGAATTTCGGAAAGAAAACAAATAAACTTTTAAGGCTACGAGGCAGAAAAATAACTAATTTGACAATTACCAACAATGTTGCCGGACTTTTCTCCAAAGATCCAAAGAAATGGCCCTACAAAGCTAACAACTACCAAGCAATTTTCTGAAAAAGCTAGAGAACGAGAGCATTCAAAATTAAAAGCAAACAATTCAATTTTTTTTTTAGTTTTAAGAGCACAGTAAATCAGAAATTTCCGACATAAAAAACTTGTTTGAAAATAGTTTTCCAAATACTTTGAAGTGCTGGTGTATCAACTTTTTTCAATTATCTATCGAATAATAACTTAATGTTAAATACTTAATTCGGGCTTTTATACTCATACGTCAATGATATTTGCTCCGAGATAAAGTATTTAAAAGTGTTGTTGTTTGCGGATCAGCAAATGAAGCTATCTGGCATTAGTATGAATAAATGGTGCAATTGGATGACCCTTAATCTTAAAAAATATAAAGTTACGATCTTCTATCTATGAACCATACAGGGAACTATTTAAACTATAGGTACCTATAATCTGGAGCATATTTCTTATTTCGTTGACCTAAGTTTCACTATTGTCTTCAAATTGAGCTTCACGCTTCTCATTAGCGTGACAGTGGTCAAAGGAATTCAAGGATTTATACAGGCCTATTCTGTCGAGGTAACAAAATTTACCTAGGCATTAAAATTTACCATTCACTAAATTTTGTTACCATTTCGTATTCTGAGCGCACTGTTACCCTGCAAATTTTGTTATCAGCGACAAAAATATCTGCTGTTTGATTTTGTATTGGAAGTTTGAGAAAAAAAAAAACAAAATGAGATGAAATTCATTGAAGCTGAAGAAAAAAAGTGCAAAAAGCCGTATTTAATAAGTTTTCAAGACTAAAAAATAGCCCTTTAATTGTTAAGATAACGTTTTCGTTCAGCTTTCTTGTTGTCCAGGCAAATTTTCTATAAGGTAGGTTTAAATATTTATGATTTAAGAAACAAATTAATAAAATTTTTTATTTTTTTTTCTGCACCGTCTTCCATTTCCATGTGAATATTTTTCTTTTTACTTTATCAACTGGCAAATGATATTTGACATGGACGAAAAGAGCAGTGCTGCCAATTTTTTTTCAAACATTGTAACCAGTTCGCAGGAATACCAAATTCAATTTCGGGTGTCAAAGAAAAGTAACAAAATTTACTTTACCGGTAACAGTGAGAATAGGCCTGATATTATTAAATCTTTGTTCACAAAATTAGTAAAACCCATTCTGGAATACAGTTCTATAATTTGAAGTCAGAAGTATCAAATTTGCTCTGATTGAGCAGAATATATTCAAAAACAATGTATCCCTTTTCCCTTGTCAAAATTGCTCTGGGACTCTCGTAGTCGTCGGAAAATGCTTCGTGTAATTTTCAAGTCAAAATAATAGGCTCAATTCTAGTCTTCTTCTTCCTGGGATCAAGTCTAATGTTCCGATTAGAACGTATCAATTGTTAAAAAATAATAATTTTATCGATTTCAACCTAATAGTTAATAGCTGAATTATGTACCTTGTCTCAAATGGGTTGATGA